ACGCATTTTTCTTGTGCCAATTAGGCCTTTATTAACGAAACAGTGAAAATTTGAGGAAGTTTTCAATGCAACCTCTGCGTGAGTAAACCTATCATGTTTTGACTGTTGCTTTTAACATAGGACATTTAATCCTCCTTTTTTCTTTCTCATCGATAATCTTGGCTTGGTACGTCATTGGGGCAGTCTTCTTTGAGGAATTCTCCATCGATAGTTGATTGGTGCCAGGTTGCGAGTTGAGGTCGTCAGTTCAGGACTCCATCGCTAAGGCCAACATAGGCGAGCTTTAAAGGTGTAGTCGCTGGACCGGCTTCGTGTATATTGGTGGCTATCATTTCAATAACGTTGATGTTGTGTTACTTATTACCAAAATGCTTCGCAAATTCGCCAAAGGCCATAGCAATCGACAAGCTTGAAACCATTCATGCATTTGATTTCTCTAGGTGCTTTCATATTACCCAGGCGAAAACATTTAAGTACATGATAGCATCTTATTAGCAAACCAAACTTGCCAATTTATTCAGCTGTAGAACGGCTTTGAGATTCGACTCCAAAGTGTGCCTTTCTAGCGGGTTCCACCACTTAAATTGCATTTTTCGTTCTAGTATCAACTTTTACAGCTTTATCAGTAAAATAAAGAAGAAAATAAAAATAGCGTCTGTCGACGTTAAATCAATGCCACTTCTGAATACCTCTGATGTGGTCTGCTAGATCTCATGCATCATCCACGGGTTGTGCGTGAGTGCAGTCACAAAGACGTAAAGCTGAACTTTAGGATAAATGAAACTGCCAAAACAACGTCTGACATATTAGTGGTTATTTTAATGCGTTAGGTTGTGCTTTAATTACTGTTAAGAATTTGCATCTGCGTTCATTTATAGAGGAAAATTGCCTTTCACTGTAACGACTTGGCATATTTATGCCATGCGATCAAAAATGAGGGCTGTGGAAAAAGTTATCTGATGGAGCAACCAATTTTGCTGGACACTCAGAATCTACGCCTTAGGCTAGTAAATTACCTAGGTCAAGCAGGCTTAACAGCTGTTAGTGAGAAAAAATTGACTTACTACATGATTTAATGCACCACCCAGCATCCGGCAAGGAGGTCTGCTTGCCTAAGTCAGTGAATCCAAACGTCACACGGTAAATGATGATTAATTGGAATTCAATGCAATTTTCCTTCCTAACTACGATCGCTACCACGAATGGCTGGATGGAAGAAGGGTGGGCAAATAAGGCTGGCCTATGTTCGAGGTAGTCCTACCCCTCATATAATACCACCCAGCACTTTGCATATTCTCTCTTTATTGCTTCCTTTCTCTCATCTATCCTGACATCTGCCCATCACTCTATTGTACTTACTATCTATCTCGCATCTATTTATCCGCAGGAACTAGCGGTTATTTTCTCGCTGCTTCATAAGTCTTTTGATTCAGTGGTTGCAATATTTTCAATTTCCACTCACAAATCAAAGGGTTCTTATAATCACCGAATGATTAGTTGCATTCCCTGCAGTGCATAGTGTGTTATTTTGCACCGATTTCCTGAACAATACCAGAAGCTACATGGTTTGCGATTGGTTCGG